ACTCCCTCCGATGAAAAAAAATCTTAGCATGTTTCCTCTATCTGATATGCTATATTTTTTCTCCAAATTTCAGTTCAGTCCTTACTTCTTCAAAAAAAGCCTCTCCTAACTTAAGTAGTTTAAATTTTTTGGCCTCATGATACTATGAACTAATCCTTTATTGCCCTTATCACCATTGCAATGTTATGTTTCAATAAATGATTTAATTCAAGTGTGACTATTTGATGGCTATAGTTCCGTGAAGACAGTATATGCATCCATTTGCCCCCCACTGTATCCCCAGAGTTTTAGCATAATTAAAACTCAACAAATGTTTGTTTTTGTTTTTGAGACAGAGTCCACTCTGTTGCCAGGCTGGAGTGCAGAGGTTCGATCTCTGCTCACTGCAACCTCCGCCTCCTGGGCTCACGTGATTCTTGTGTCTCAGCCTCCCGAATAGCTGGGACTACAGGCATGCACCACTATGCCCAGATAATTTTTGTATTTTTAGTAGAGGCGGGCCTCACACCCTTGTCTACACAGCCCCAGTACAGGGTTCCTGACCTGTGTTCAGTAAGAATGTCACTTTTTAACACGCCAGGAGTTCCAAGTGTATCTTGGGACCTTAAGAGGAGAGGATCACCCAATTCAGAGGTATTTGAGGACACAAATCCATGGCTGGGCTTGGCTTTAAAAGTTCTCATCTGAGATTCCTTGTAGAACAGAGTTCCATCAAAGCCAATCTAGGAGTCCTATGTAGAAATAGTTATTCTTGCTGCCCTTTATGGAAATAATCAGGCCAAGTATAACACTAAAGTCTATTTTGCAAACAACTCAGTCCTATCATGATTTGTTGTTGTTGTTGTTTTTAACAAAAATGATGACTAGAGAGAAATTATGTTTCAAAACTTTTCATACATTTGTCATTACATTCTAAACTCATTTGTTGTTTTTAAGTTTTTGCCTACACTTTAGACTAACCCTGCTTGTTCCTGTGAACCAACCAGCAGTCTCCAGATGCAGTTCAAAAGGAACAAAAGGGGATGGCTAATGTAAAAATCTTGCTAAATATTCCAGTTCTGAGCAATTATCCTCAAATCCGAACAGGTGATGGGAATAAATAGGGTGCCCATCACCCAAAGGTTTCTTTTTTGGGAAAGTATGACCAAGGGAGCTATCCAAAGCCAGGCACCATGAACCCAAATCTTAGCAAGCATAATGATAGTATTGTACCAAAGCAAGCACAGAAAGTCAACACCAAGACAAAAGTATGCCAAATTGCAGGGTCTTTATTGCCAGTGGCCACGGAGGACTCACATCTCTCCAACTTGTGGCCCTGAAAGGAGGGTGTCAAGACCTTTTATGCCCATATACCACCTCCTGGGCAGGGGTGGGGGTAAGGGGCTTCGGACATTCCGAGTGCCAATGGACTTTGGACACTCTGTAAACCACCTCCTGGGTGGGGGTGAGAGTGAGGGGCTTCAGACATTCCGAGGGCCCAGAGGACTTTGGACATTCTGATTGTTAGTTGCTTAAGTGGTTCACAGAAGTCAAGATAAGCGTTAGTTTACACATTGCCTGGGTAGCGTGGAAATGACAGATCTTAGTTACTTATTACAAGTCGCAGGGGCCAAGATGACATGGGTTTGGACTGCTTGCCTGTCACATCAGGGTTACAGAGAGCAATTTCAACAGAAAGCTGAGGTACAGTTGAGGTATGCAGTTTTATGGGGCTTTTACCATGTCACAATAGCCACTATTTATCTGGGTATGTCACAGAACATCCTTTATCTCGCTTGTTGGAGGAATATCAATTCCACAGTGTCACCTTAGCATTCAGGTTATAATAAGGAGTCCATGCAACACCCCTGAGACACATTTTGGTCCCAAACTCAATTCCAAGCTTTGGGTCAAAGCACTAGGAAAGAAAACTGGATCCAGAGGCAGACAATAATGGAAGTTAAAAGGCACCATACAGGTGAGAGTGGCTGATTCCTGCCAATTAAGCCAAGCTTCCCATTTTATGGATAAAGTCCATGCTAGTATCTGTGGCATAAATGAGGTCTAGGGAATTCAAAGGCTACTGACAGCAGGGGAGATATAGCATATGTGAATAAGAGCAGATACTTCCACCCTCTAGGCCCTCCGTTAACATGAGTGAAAGCCGCTTAAACACCAATGGGTGTCACCCTGTCATGGCTACCAGGACTCAGGGTTTCAAGGACAGAGGAAAGAAAAAAGAATGACTCACCTTCCCTCCCTCACATACCCCAGCTATTTGCCAGGAAGAGAAAGGAACCAGGAATGCCTGCTCTCCTGTTTCTAGATGAGTAGCCATTCATCTTCAGTCTGTACCCCTTTCAAATGCATCCTGAACCCCTGGGACTCCTTTGAAAAAACACTTTCTTTTTTCCTTTTTCCTCCTCTGCCTCTCTTCACTGATAGGCAATTGTGTCTCTCTACTATGGGAGGCTCCCCTTATATGCATCCTCCAAACTGAGAAGAGTTAATTTCTCAAACTTTAAACTGATAGGCTTCGAATTGGGCTCAGTGGGAGGCAACCCAGAAGGCTGACTTGCCAGCAAAAGAGTAAAAGTTTTCCTTACCAGTCAGGCTTTTGGCCCCCATCTCCCTGTGCAAACTGGTAAAAGGCCTCAGGATTTTTTAGCTGTCCCACCTTCAAGTTGTTTATATTATTTGAATATGTGTTGATAGCACACTAAGATCAAATTTGCATGTTATGTGGCTGATTGTAAATTTGGTAATTTTGGATGTCATAACCTTTGATACCTCTGAACAATAAAGATGCAATTTTGAATATATGTAATGTATCACTATGTATCAGTATAAAATGTAATCACAGTATGTACGGATACATATTTTCTAATAACCCTGTTTATGTCTTCTCACCTTCAGGCCGTCAATCTACAAACGGTCATGCAACCAGAGCCTCAGACATTGGCCCCTTTTGCCAGGAACCCTTAGATAGGTCTCTGAGGGAGATGTGACTTCCATTTTCCCAAAACAGCACCCCCTGTCAGCAGGAAAATTGATCTTCGTCATTATCCTTATCCTTATTCTAATGGCAATTAGATGTACTTCTTTGGAGTGGGGAATGAGACAGCCAAGTAAAAAGGTATCCCTGGAGAACCTCCGCACTGGGAGGGCAGGGTGGAGCCTTGGGAACTTCATGCCATTTGCAGGAGGAAGGAGTCTGGCCCCTCTATTTCCTGTATGGTAGCCAGGGATTCAGTCTGTGAGGCGGAAAGCTTGCTGGCAGGACTCTCACTTCTCTTAGAGTCCCTGTTTCCCTTTTTTCACTTTCACCAAATAAAGCATGCCCTACTCAGCCTTCAAAGTGTCTGCAAGCCTAATCTTTCCTGGTCATGTGACAAGAACCTAGTTTTTTCCTACAACAATTAAAAAACCTCCAAACCAGTCCTTGTTCATGCAGAAATGAATCATTATATAAAAGACAATCCTTTCGTATTCATTCAGCAAATATTTATAAAGTGTTACCAAGTGTCACTTCCTGTGCTAAGTACTAGAGTTACAGCATAAACATGACAAAGGCTCCTAACCCTTATCGGAGCATACATTCATTCCACTATTTATTTATTGAACACCTGCTATGTGCCAGATGCTATGCTAAGTAAGGAGGAGTCTAAAGGGTGAATAAAGCCTTTACTAATAATACCAAAAATAAATGAATTTCATTTGTAATAAGTGTTATAAAGGAAAAATTCAGGGTGCTATGGAAATAAGCCATACAAAGACTTAAACACAGCCAGGAGTGTCAAGAGAGGTTTCAAAAAACAATGACATTTAAGCTAAGGCCTGTATAAGTATGCATTAATAAATCTGAAGGCACTGAAAACATTATTATTAGTTACAAAGAGCTTGTGCCAGAGCAATTTAATGAAGGAAAGATAAGTATTTTAAAATAATGCTTTCCAAGGGATAGCAGAACTAGGATCTGAAAAATCAGGTAGAGATGTGATAGGTAAATACAAAATCAAGTATCAGTCATCATAAACAATATTATCCTCTACATCAGGAGCCAGAAAACTCCACTATGCAAGACAAATTCAGCCTGCAGTCTCTTTTCCCAGACCTTTGAGCTAGGAATGGTTTATATATTTTTACAAGGTTCTTAAAAAATAAAGAAGGCAGAGGAGGCAAAAGCAGAGAAGAGGGAGAGAAGGGAGACCATATATGACCCAGAAACTGTAAAATATTAACTATCTAGTCCTCTACAGAAAGTTTGCTGACCCATGTTTTATACACTGTAATCAATTAAAATATAATGAAATTTTATTCTACATCTTCACTAAACATGATTCTACCTGAACATTAAACATAGGTACTGAATATGTATCATACATCTTTTTCAAAATTGCATCTTTATTGTTCAAAAGTATCAAAGGGTACAACATCCAAAACTACCAAATTTACAATCAGCTACATAAGATGCAAATTTGACCTTAGTGTGCTATCAACACATATTCAAATAATATAAACAACTTGATGAAGACAGTTAACAAGGTACATAAAAATTAGTATTAAAAAATAATGGGCCAGATGCGGTGACTCATGCCTGTAATACCAGCACTTTGAGAGGTCAAGGTGGGTGGATCACGAGGTCAGGAGATCGAAACCATCCTGGCTAACACAGTGAAACCCTGTCTCTACTAAAAATACAAAAAATTAGCCAGGCATGGTGGCAGGCACCTGTAGTCCCAGCTACTTGAGATGCTGACGCAGGAGAATCGCTTGAACCCAGGAGGCAGAAGTTGTAGTGAGCCAAGATCACGCCACTGCACTCCAGCCTGGGCAACAGAGTGAGACTCCATCTAAATAATAATAATAATAATGCAGCTTTACTTAAAACCAAATATATTTTTTATATTTTAGCTGAAGAAAATAGTACATAATATCTATAATACAAGAGTCTAAGTCAAGGGATTCAATATTTTTCTGAAAAGTAATTGCTATATATTAATAGGAAAGACTATACTTACCAAGATTTTTTTTAATTCTTCAAGTTCTACTTCTTTATTCTTTGTAAGCTTAATCATCTCTTCTAAAATAAGCAAAATAAATAAATAAATACATGTGTTAAAATGCTGGATTAAAGGAACAAGCACAATACTATGCAAAATTGAAAAATCAGGAGAGAGAAATGCAACTAGTAGAGGAAGTCCAGACCTAATTATTCAAAGACAATAAAAGATAAATACTAATTGTAATGTTTCTATAAATACCATAGTCAAACAACCCAAAGTTCATAAAGCAAAATAAGCAATAAATCTATATAAAATATATTTGAAATGAGGTCAGAATGTACATTTACGTTCAACTCATCCCTATCTAAACATCTGGCCTCTTAATAAACTTAAAAGAAGTGATCCTCTTTCCTCAAGCTACCTCTGAGCATTGTACTTTGGATTCAACATTACCACCTCCTCTGAGACTTTAGCTTCTATACTACCAATATACACAGATTCTATGTAGAGGCATCTTTAATTTCCCATATCTCATCTAAACATTCTATTTGAATATAAACAATATCTGACCTTTCAAGCTGCTTTCAAATTTCTTACTTTGTTTTGCCAACAAATTCCTATTTGTTACCTACACATTTCTTTTTGAACTCCATGTAAAACTAATGCCTATCACCATAATAATAAAATTATCATCTTAAAGATCACCAACTTCATCACTGTGGAGTATTTGATACTATTAACTTCTCCCTGTTTTTTCCTCTTTGATTGTCAAGACCTTGCACTATTCATACTTCCTGTTTTCTCTCTAACTCCTGTTCTTGTTTTCTTTGCTGACAGCCTTCTTTCTTGACATCCTAAAAGACAAAGCTTTCCAATGTTTTTCTTTCTACACTTCCAGGACTTCAACATTATCCTAATAAATTTAAAAATCTTTCCAGCCCAAGTCTCCCACACTTTTCAACTTTCTTACATTTTTAAGCTGCCCACAACAAATTAAGCCAAAGAAGAAACTGCCTACAGAGTTCCCTAAAATGTCCAGCTGTCAGCTAAAAATTTATTGTCTCTGAAATATGGTCCTTCCTCACTGTTAAGGATCATTATTGATTACTGGAGATAAAATAGACTTACTGAAAATTTCTCAGACTCTGCACATTTTTAAAAACACGTGTAGGCCGGGTGCGGTGGCTCAAGCCTGTAATCCCAGCACTTAGGGAGGCCGAGGCGGGGGGATCACGAGGTCAAGAGATCGAGACCATCCTGGTCAACATGGTGAAACCCCGTCTCTACTAAAAATACAAAACATTAGCCGGGCATGGTGGCGCGTGCCTGTAATCCCAGCTAC